AAAAAGAATCGCCCTTACTCTCTTGTATAGAGCTAACAGTACAACACTGGGGAAATCCTTAACACATTGAATATTCTCTCAGGATCATTTATAATTTACAGTTTGAAGAGGGCAATTTCTGGTTTGATATTTATTCTTTTATTAGTCTTTTATTATTCGCCAAAAAAGCACTTGGCGTCCTACTTGCTTTATTGTACAAACGACCGGTTTCAATAGACTGACGATATTTCTCATTTACTAAAGCACTGAGGTTACGACAACTTCGAGTTAAACTGACTTCACGGGTTGTCAAAGAGTCCAGCGATTCCCTTTTCGCAGGTGAGCGCCGACTCATTTCGCCTCAATATTCAGAAATGCTTTCGATCTCTTTCAATTTCATTGCCTTTCGCCCGACATGTTTTGCACGGCGTTTAGTCATGCGAAACCTCCACGAAACATCCACGCAGCGGGCGAGGTAACTTTATCCCGATTCTAAAAATAACTCGAGACGAATTACCTATGGAATAGGGTGTGTATGGGGGATGCCTTCTCTGTCCCCTTTATCCTCTCTTGCCAGTGGAGGATCCAGACAAGGACCCCTCCTCTGGATCCGCCACTGTTGTCTTTTTCTAGTAATTAATAGTCGAATTAATAGTACATTAGCATCTTAGATATTAGATTGTTCCTTATCAGTATAACCTTCATAGTTTGTCTTGAGCTAGCTAGTTCCACACCCTCAATAATTATTTCCGAATTCATGAAGAATCCAAAACATTTGTTTACCGGTTTCCGTTTGCCATTTATAAACTGGTGCGTGACGGAATCGCAAGCTGCAACGTACCGCTTTGCTCGCGTATCCGCAATTAGTGAAATCGTGCTAATTTGTATCCGAATAAATTTTTAGTTTCGGATAAATTGATGCAGGACAAACACCTACGCATTCGATTGACCCCTTTTTTTCTTACAGAAAAACATCTAATTCTCATAAGGGACCGGACATTATTTATCACCTGGGGGGAGGGCGGAGGATTTTAGGGAGGATCACTTGATTTTGGGGAGAAAAAGAAGGGGGAATCAGTCGTAACTGAGAACCTGAAAAGAGGAGATCGCTGAAAATTTTGGAAGGATTCAGAGGGGGGACCACTCAAATTTGTTTGGAAAATGAAGACGTGGGAGGGGGGATAGCGAAAGTCATCAAAAGTTATAAGGGGGGATCACTTCAGTGAAGTAGCATTCACAGCGGGGATCTGCTAAATTTCACCTTGTTTAGCCCTAAATCCTCCAGACCTCGAGATAAGGGTGGGGAGGGGGGGCGGGCGGTCATCCATACCCTTACATAGGGGGGAGCGGTCTCCAAAAATAGTTTTTTCGGCCCTTCGGACTTCAGTTTCGTCTAGAAATAAGGGGGGGCGAGCCCCCCCGGCCTCCCCTGGATCCGCCACTGGCTAAATAACAACAGCAAAGGCGCAAAAAGGGTAACTCATATTGCCCCTTAAAAATACTGCAATGTCTCATGGGATTTACCACGTGGTTTTAAGGCGTTTTATTTTCTAATCATGGGAACTGATTTAAAACGCTAAGCTTTTAGTCTGGAATTTTGGCTCAAACCACCATGTTTACTAAACTTAACAGAATGAGTGAATATGAAATACTCCTACCTGAATTTCCTTCAGCTGTAATGCTACATAGCATCAGGAACAACACAACAAAAAGAAGCTTCATTTTCCTGTTGATATAAAAAAGTCATTAAAAGAGGGTGGAACAACGAAAAAACATTACGATGACAACTACAAATAAATCTCGGTTAAAGACAAGAAACCTGGCCTTGTGGGCCCCGTATCCCAGCTATTTTTAATTACCGCTTTGTGAATATCATGGATCCAAGTTCTTTACCACTAGATCTTCAAAGCTTGACCGATATAAAGCAAAAATGCTAATTGCTAGAGCGTAACCAATTATTTGGCTGTGTTTATCGTAAGTATAGGGGCCAGCAGGGCTATAAAAGGCCCGTTTCAAACTTTCCCCCACTAAATTATTTTAATGACTAACAATAATTAAACAAAGTGGTTTCTTGATAAAATTTCTGTTATTAATTTAATCGCCGAGTTTCGTATTCCCGGGCGGCCTAGGACGAGTGCTTGTTTTTGCGCGAAAGCGAGGCTAATGCGGGTCACTTCTCACCCATTCTCGACCTCAGTGCTTACAGGTTTGGGAATGCGCGCGTAAGCCTGGGAAACTCTGCTCCGGAGTAGCCAAAATCTGGCTATTTGGGCCTCACAGCGCATGCTCTTTGATCCAACCAAAACTTTTTGCTTCTTTTGCTTCGGTATTAGAACTGAAGAAATTCAGTTAACGGCTTTGAACAATTTTCGGGTATCCAAGGCTCTTGTGATAGTTGCTGAGAAAATACCATTCAACGTTCCCAATCGCAGATTTGAGACTTGAAGTTTGCATATGCTTGACAGTTGATTAAATATTTCTGTGGACCACTTCACGAGGCGGTAAGTGAAACCCAAATGGCTTGTTAAGATAAACGTATCAAAATTCCAACAAAACTTTCCAAAATATGAATTTAGCGTCCTTTTATTTATCTTTGTTAATGCTTCAGCGAAGCTGCTTTGAAATGCGATATCGTGGGTAAAGAAGACAACTATAAATATCTAGTCGCATTGTACACGCATCACTTTAGTGAACGATTTATTTTTTCTGTTTTTTTTTTCTTGCAATTCTGTTTTTGGGTAATTTACGACAGGAAGCTCAAGTTTTCATTCATACTCGGCTACTTCGTGTGAATACGATAACGTGGAAGTCAAAGAAAAATCAGTAATGTGTCATGCTTCTTAAGTTATAGCTGGTAAAGATGTCGGTGTATTTTTATTTTTTTTTTTTCACATTCAAAGCTTTTTTGGTTCAATTTTTGATATGTAGCTAAGCTATTTTATTTGAAAATTGGAAAATCCAGTAATTCTGCAAATTAGTCGTACAAATGTTGTTTTGGAATCGATGAAATCAAGAATCGGCCGGTCGTGTTTACTTCAACATTTCTAGGGAAAAACCCGCTCACACGCCAGGCACGCTGCACGTTCAACCTCTCTCGTGCAAGCTTGAATGGACCAATCAGAAACACTTTTATTGTTTTTTCTTAAACCAGTCAGAGACAATCTTGCCCCAGGGTTCCCCAGAGCTCTTGATCTCTCTCTTCTACATGCGCAGAACAGCTCTGGGTCGAGATTGCTTCTCACCAAGACAAACAAACTGCGGCTGAGTTGCCGAAAAAAGGAAAATTTGAAACGTTGAAAGGTTTTGGAGTTCTCAAAATTTACCCACAGACTTGAGAAATCATCGGTTTCAAACAGCAAAAGGAAAATCAACTCGTCATCACTAAGAAAAACAAGGAGCCTATATATAACCAGAAATTAACCGAAATAGTGTTCGGTGAGTGAGTTTAATAAAATGCGAAGATGGTTTCAAAATCCTTAAACAAGGTAACAGCCTGAAGCGATTTTAATGTTATTTTCAGTGATGGTTAAAACTTCTTTAAGCCGTAGTACCTTCCAATCGAGTGTATACTTGTCGAAAGCGTGCAAGTCCAACTGATACCTTCTTTTTAGTTGACATGTTTTCTAAACGGAGCGAATGCAAAATCTCGTGTATTTGAAAAAAAATAAACGACGGGGCAGACGTTCTGCATAAAAATAGGTTAAATAGGTTTAAACGAAGATGACTAAAATAGTATAAGTTTATTTATACATAAGCTTAACAGGAGCCCCCAACGACAATTTTCGGAAAATATCTGTTCGGAAGACGATTTGAGATCTAGAATTTTCGGAACGGCGTTTGTTGTAAAATTTCTTGCTTGCCGGCCTCTCCTACGTTTTTCGAACATCTAAAAATGGTATAATTGCTCATTTTTAACGGATTTTTACCCTATAAAGGTCACCTAGAATTTTCGGGAGCCTTTTTTCTGGCTGAAAGTTTCGAAAAGGTAAGTTTTGATCCTTATAATTTTCGGATCACTAGACTTTCAACTAGGAAATCGGAACAGATGAAAAATTTTTAGGGAATAAAAATATGCCTATGTCTACCGTTTAAATCCTAAAATACGTTTAACAATGCTATGTTTAAGCGGTTTTGAACTGTATATTCCCGTTGGGTGGGCTCTGAGCTTACATCTAGCTTACATTGTTGCGTGTCAGTGTATGAATTAACACTGCTATGTTGTGGTCTGCTGCAGTCGTGGATGAGACGGATTTTGCCTTAGGAACTTCAATGAACATGTATCTTTAGTGTGTAAAAAAGTCAACAATCAATTGAATGTCATGATTAGATTTCGTAACCTTATTTGCACCGCTGCTAAGTTAAAGTTGTATAATGCGTTCATTTTGCCCCAATTTCAATACTACTTTATGGTTTGGCATTTTTGTAGTGCTAGAAACTGTGAAAAATTAGAATCTCTTAATAAGCGCGCCCTACGTATTATTTCAACCGAAGGATACAAAATATGTTAATCACTATCTACAAAAGTTTGAACTATATGAAAGTTTTCCTTAATATCTTAAAGACATGCTTACGTTGTATCAGTCTGTATAATCTTCTAAGAGAACTAAATACTAATATTTTATATATCACTATGTGAACCTGCTACTACTACTTATGGCCTCAACTCTTTTCGTTACTTTGCATCTAAGGAATGGAACTCCTTACCTAATAAAGTGAGATCTGAGCCTACTTTATCTGGTTTTAAAAGACTCCTGAAAGCAATCTCCTTTCTGACATAACGGTATCAATATTTAACATTTTTCATATATGTAAAGAGATTTTATGTATTTACAGCTGTAAATAGATTTATTTTGTGTATGTAAATAGATTTCTCTTTTTTTTTCGAAGATATTAGCCTTTCAGGCTACTCTTAAATTCGATTATGAATAAAATTCATGTTTTGTCATGTTATGTTCCTGTATTCGTCAAGTTGTGCATTATTCGCGCGTTTGCGGCAACCCACGTAGATAATGAAATATTTTCTAATTTTGGCTTGCTTCTGGGGAGAGGTAGAATAAAGCGTGCATCTGTAGACCCACCAATTTCTTGTTCGTCCTCAACGGATCCATTGTAGTCTGCAATGCTAACAAAGTCTCACCTGCCTTCTTGTCCTGTACTCCAAGGAACACCTGCGGGTCGTTGTCAACCCTCTCGAGGGGCACGGACAATGGCTGTTTGGTGGCTCCGAACGTGACAAGCGTGTCATTTAATGAAACTCTTCCGTTCTTTTTCAGTAGCTCTTCAAAACCGCCATCGCTCGCCAATTTCTTGGTCGTGACAGGTGTTGTTTCGATTGGTTTCGTCTCGCCAGCCTTAGGGATTTTTTCCGCACTATTCAGTTCTGCTAAAGCATGTAGCAGGAGTTTCTTCTGTCCAAGGGTAAGGTCCAACGTGGCAATGTCGTCCGCATGGACTAACTTCAAGGTTTCTTGGGAATCCAGATCGCTTTTCCATAGCTTGTCAATCGTCTTCTGCTTCAGTCCATGGTCGCTGCACCACGTTTTAAAATCAAAGCTCGTCATTATGGAAAAAAATGACGTACGCACTTGTCGAAAGCCTACAAGTCAAGCCTACTGACTTCTTTTTAGTTGACATTTTTTCTAAACGGAGCGAATGCAAAATATTGTGTATTTGAAAAAAATAAACCGACGGGGCAGACGTTCTTCGTAAATTCCTTGCACTGTAAGGAAGTTAAATCGGTTTAAACGAAGATGAATAAAATAGTATAAGTTTATTTACACATAAGCTTACATCTAGTTTACTTTATTTTAGCTTATCAAAATATTCAGTCACCTTAAGAAAAACGTACGTGCCCACACTTCACTCGACAAGACCTCAAACACAGAATTTTATAGAGACGATATACTGAGCAGTTTAAACTCCATTTTACAGATATACACAAGAGTAAAATAGAATACTAAGAAGTAAGATAATTAAAGGAAATAAAATATTGTCATTTTAACAAATTTTACCCTTTTCAGGCTTAAAAAGTTTACTTCTTCGTTTGGCTTCGTCGCTTTTTTCCCTTCTTCTGTTAGGTACGATCAGCTTTTCCCACAATTTTGTTGTTTGCAACAGATATCCCTTTGACTTACTGATAAAGTGTAACCTCTGAAATCTTACTATTTTTAAGATTTGTATCGTTTTCCAGCGACTCAGCGGCAAATTAACTATGTTTGTTTTTGTTTCTGCAAGGACGTTGACCCGCATTAGCCTCGCAATCGTGCTCTTCCCAGGGCCATCGGGGAATACGAAACCTGCCTATTAACATTCCCTTTCCAAAAACCATTTACCCATTTCTTAAGTAAAAGATAATATGTAGCAGCCTTATAGATAACAACAACTGTGTGTTTTTTTAAAGTCAAACATAATTTTCTTTATCGTTTTCTGTTATTCAAAATGAAGAACATCTATGAGTCACATTTAACCCATTTAACCATTCACCAAGCCGTGAATAAAAAATCATATGTATACGTAGCACCGACGGAGTAGCCTTATACATAACAAGAGAATTAACTGTGTTTTTTTGTTAGTGAAACCGAAAGGACATCTGAGAGTTTCATCTAGTAAGATCTCATGTGTGTGACCTATTTGCCACAGTTCAAGAAAATAATTTGTAGTCCATTGTCAATGAAAATTTACTTCTTTAAAAAAAGTTTGAAAAAAATAAAAACAATTTATCCTACTTTCTTACATTTCAAATTATTTGTCATATTTCACGGAAAGGAAACCTTTTTGGTAGGCAGAATATTTTTTGATGAAATTAAAATGAGAAACGGTTTTTGGGTTTCCAAGAATATCAAACTTATAATCTAAGTCCCCTTAATGAGATGCATATTAACCAATAGAACCATTGGAATGAAAACATTTTTTAGTGGTACCAATCCTACCGTTGGTACTAATGGACACAATTCTTATCACCACTAACACCAATGTCGTCTATTTGTGAGTATTGGACAATCCTCTATATAAGGGAGTAACTCCCCCCCCCACCCCCCCACCCGGCGAAAACGAGTTGCCGATTATGAGTCTCACTGCTTACACAAGCGAGACTAAAAAGGACGATGCAGGTTCAGAGTTTTTGTTTTGTTCAATAAACCAATCGCTCTTTTGAAAAGCTCCCTGCTGTTTGGGCAAGGGGGTGGGATAGGGGCGGGCGGCGAGTTGTTTGGATACGATAACGTTGGTTTTACATGGTGATGCCTAACTTTAAGCGCTCATTCAGTATTATTAAGTCTGGCCCGATTTGTTTTCTACAAATCTAAGCGATTGCAGTTAGCCCGAGCTTACGCTTAAAGAGCGTCTTTTACAAGAAGAGGCTTCCTCTAGTTTCCACTCTCCCAGGCGTCTCCCGGGGGCAAAATTGTAGCTGAGGGAAGTCTGGGATCAAGAGGAAACCAAGATGGCGGCTTTTTCTTCGGCATGGTCTTGTATTTGAGCCTACATGATTACTTTTGGACTGTAAGAACGCAGTGTTGACGCACAGAGGTCCTTGAAGTTATTGGCTAACGTCTGGATCCATTTAGTTGTTTTACCATTCAACGCATTTTCTTAACTGGGATGGTGTACTGGATCGATTAGAACCAAAGAATAAGATGATGATAACACAATCTGGATCCACGTGTTGGTAAGTTAACGCTATTGCGTGATTTTTTGTAACTTGGGAATTTGTAGAAGAGAATTTTTAAACATTTAAGTTGATCAAAATGACAGTGTTACCGTGTAAGAGGCGATAGAGCTGACAAGGAAGTACAAAAAAATTAATGTCAGTTCTCACTCAATGCTGTAGGACACTGTAACACAAGTTTCTTGAACGCTTCCTAGAGGACATTAAAATAAGCAAAAGTTTACTTGTTTTGGTAACCTGGCTTTAAGAGTGAGACAAAGTTTGAGACGTGCCAGTTAACTGGCTGATTAATTAATTACCCTACATGTACATGTGCCATCTTTTTCAGAGGGGGTATCCCACCAGTGGGTATTTTGGGCAGATAAAGGTTCTTTCCTAATTACAATCAAAGAAATGAAACCAAATGACCAATTCAAAAAAAAGAAGCACCATTTTAATCTTAAAAGACAGATCTTTCAATTTCAAGTTTATATACAATGGTATCAAAACTGTGTCCATGGTAACCAATTTAGGCAGTTCCTGAAAAATGCAAATTCAGAATGTTATACATGAATGTATCTAACCTTCATTTAGTGCCTTTACTTGGAATGATAATCGGTCAGTGTAAAAGGCAGACTGCGGACTGCAGACTGCAGACTGCGGACCAGGGGTAAAATGCAGACTGAGTGTAAAATGCAGACTGCAGACTAAGAGTAAAACGCAGGCTGGGGTAAAATGCAGAATAAAGACTGTAGACTTTTTTAAACATTTGTGCTCCTTCTTCTTCAAATCGGTGAAATAGCTAGCCGGTATCAGTTACACAATTCGCTTCCTAGTCCAAGTGAATTGCACATTCGCTAAAAGTTTCAATGAACATCCAAACAGCTTAAGTCTGCATACCTTGATTTGCAATACTTTCATAGAAGGTCATCCAAATTTCCTGCAGAACATCTTTCTTTGTTGTTGGAATGACTTACTCCCTTTTTTATCGCCATAATTCCTCCTGTACAGTATTTTGGGTCAGCAGCTTTCATTTAAGCGTAAACATAGTGGTGTTGTACCAATTCACGGTCCCTGGTCACGTATATCGAAAACTTTGCATCAAAAGTTGAAGCGTGAAGTCTCTCGGATGGAAAAAAGGTTCAAGATTGTGATTATGTTTTCGGGTCGTCGACGACGTTCCAGAGAAGAAAGAAAGGAATGGATTTGTGAAAGCAGATGTCATCAAGTAAGTGTTCGTTTACATGTATTTGCGGGATTTTTTTGCCCTTAAACCCTTCAACGACTACAGTTTATGCTCGGTCTGCATTTTACCCCAGCCTGCATTTTACTCTTAGTCTGCAGTCTGCATTTTACACTCAGTCTGCATTTTACCCCTGGTCCGCAGTCTGCAGTCTGCAGTCCGCAGTCTGCGTTTTACACTGACCGGAATGATAATGTACATTCTTTTTTTGCACTATTGTTTTTTTCTTTTCGTGAAAATGTGACTGTGTTATAGTAAATTACTGAAATAATAATAATAATAATAATAATAATAATAATAATAATAATGACAATGATGATAATAATGATATCTTAAAGGGGCCATGTCAGCTGGAGAGCATGAATGCTGAGGTTATGCAAATTACTTTCAACTGTCAAAATCCTATTGTTTTTAACACGTGACTTTCTTCATGCTCTCTGTCATGTCTGTGAAAGCTCCGAAATTTAGAGAGAGGTTAACAAGCGAGTTGGGCATGGATAAGGAATATTTTGATAGAATGTATGGAACGTTTTTTCTCTGGTTATGCTAGATTAAGAATAAAAGTGTTAAGACAATTTTACTTGTAGTTTTGAAGTAAAAATGCATACCATTCATAAAAATAGAGTGCAAACAAAAATTCAACAACAATATATTGTCTTAGTCAACAAAATAAATCAAAGTTTTATTTTATAAACGACCTACAAACACATTGATTGCGCAAAATTGTTCGATCGTGCCGAATCACTGTAACGTCGAGAAAAACAGAACAAAGCATCATTGGTATACTACTCCATTGTAAGCACTCTGTTGATAAAAAGAGAAAGTAAACTCTGCTATTTTCCAAAAACTCATGGCCATGCTGTTGTAATCTTTTAAAAAAATGGCCTCCGCCAAATCGACAGCCGCTTCGTTATATGTCCACATACTTTGAGCACAAAAAAAATCCAAGGGCGAGCAGCCTCTAAAAATAACTCAACAGAACTTTAGGTTGTGTGAACTATAGGGAAGATTCCATCAAAGATTCCATCACTCATTGTGGAGTAGCCATTGTCAACTCTCTGCCATTACAATGGCTGCTCAAGGCTGTGCTCTAGCAGAGCCCGGTGGCCCCTGGCGCCTAACTTTTGCCCTCGGGCGACTTGAAAATCTCAAATTTTTCATACAAATCATATGCTGGGCACCCTAGATTTTACAGTTTCAGAGCACTGGGCTCCCTTCAATTTTCCTTACAGCACAGCCTTGCTGCTGATAAGAGTACACTGTAAATCCACATAAAAAAATCCACGGGCAAACAATTTCAAAATAGCGGCAAAAAATTCCTCTGTAATCACCATAGAACGATTCTTAATACAAAACTTCGCTAACTATCAAATCATGGCTGAGATTTAGACAGATAAAAACAGCCTTCCAAAATCTCTGACAGAACTTGAAAAAGTTCGGCAGACTTTTTCAAGTTTGTTTTCATTGGCTCATGCATGCGTCAGGGGGGACATAGCCCCTTTAAAGGAACAGTATCCCGTTACTGCGCGTGCACCAAACTTTTATTTTTGGACAGGATGTTGCGAAATCAAAAGATGTGAGGAGAGTATAAAGAGAACCTTGAAAAATCCATTTGCATCGCGCTTGGCCGAGTTCAATACTACACTAAAACTTCTCAGGATTACAGATCAATG